TTTTTATCCAAAACTCATACATCACTTGGACCCAGCTCTTCATGTGAAAATACATAGACCATTCGCAAATAGAAATTCACATAAATTTAAAATTAAATAATAAGACTCAATGAGTGCTGTCACAGGAAGTGGGGTGCAGCGTAGATACTGGACAGTCAACATAAGCAGGATGTGGAAGCAAGAAATGGCTAAGAAAAATTTAAGACTTCTGAAAGTTTAAAATAGAAGAAAGTAGAAGGATCACTGGGTTTCTATCACACAAGGCATGGTGATGTAAAATAGTAAAGGGAGGGCCCAGAAGGTGGTGCAGAGATAAGACAATGCTCTGTGAAGCCAATTCACATGGGAAGGTCCTGGGTTCTCATCTGGAGACATCCCTGAACACACTAGGCATGCATCATGTGTACCTGTGGTCTGGGGCTAACTGAAGCTGTGGGTGGATCATGTCATGAGGACCCTGTTGGAGGAATCTACCCTTTTTTTTTTTTTTTTAAGCTTTCTATAGGGTATGTGTGCTTGCCAGAGATAGACCGAGAGAAAGAGAGAAGGTGAGAAATCATCCTTCCGGTAGGATGGCCACACCTCAATTCCCTCTCCTCCATTCTCCTCTCAGGATTTGGGCATGCAAATGTGCTTGGCATGATTTTTCAACCCACTGGGTCTAGGACTTGACCATGCAGTCAGTCATATGGCAGCCAGCTGCCTTAACCTCCACACTATCTGCTGGAACCTATCTTTATATTAATCTCTCTCTCTTCTCGCCCTCTCTCTTCCCCCACCCCTCATCTCTCCTGCTCATAGAAGAAAGAAACTTATAAAAATAGTTAAGGGTAAGGATATTCTAGGGACACTGGAGCAATTGGATCCAGAGTTACACTGGTATAACTAACATATTGTTAGGAGGCAAAGGAATCACTAATAGGGATCACTAATACAGATAAGGTTGGGTGGTTTTAAAAAATACATCCATCCTCTCTTACACATTATAAAATATATGGTAGCATCAGAGTCAGGCTTATTAACTTATAAAAATTAACATTTATTGAGAGCTTGGCTTGGATCAGGCCCTGTACTAAGTATGTTATGTAAATAATCCATTTAATTCTCAAATCAACCCAATGAGAGGAGCTATTCCCATTTCACAGGTGAGCAAATTGAGGCTCAGAGAGGTTAAGTACCAAGGAAGCTAGGAAGGTACAGAGTTGAGATTTGAATGCAGGTATTATGGCTCCATGGTCTAATGTTTTTAATAATACACATGCAGCTTCATAACATTTTGCCAAAAGAAATATTACTGTATTTTAGAGTTTTATTTGTATGTTTACATAGGTTTTCAGAAAACTTTCAGAGAACTAAGTCCTGAATTTAAGAAGCTGATCATTACTATCAAAAGCCACTGAAGCCAACATACTTTCAGCTGGACAAAAAGATGTTCAGTTTACTTTTGCATGATATTTGACATCTACCCATGCAATTGAATTCAACTCAATTAACAGTAATTTACAATCCTATGCTGAGTACCAAAGGAAAAAAAGCCAGATTCAAAGCCTAGATAAGACACAGTTTTACTCCAACCTCGAGCAAATGAAATGTTTTGGAAGCTTGTGGTTGAATAAAGATGAAGAAAATGAAGTCCAGAGAGTTAAAATGACCTCCCTAAGACCAAAAAAAAAAAAAAAAGAAAAGAAAAAAGAAAAAAATGTTTGTAGTAGAGTGACCTAAAATCCAATTCAGATAGGTCTTTTTTTGTTCCACCACTCTGCTTCTAGTGAAGCTGGTTGAACACACTGAGATAAAATTAAAATTAAAGTCCAAATAAATATGCTCTATAAATATGCTCTGTGCTCTATAAAGAGAAAAAAAATGTCTAACTTCTACATGCTTTACTCTAAAACTCGCTTCATTTTGGAATGGGGAATGATGGGAAGGTTAGAAAGAAAAGACAGCCAAGGAAATAATTTTAAGGAAAGGGGAGGAAAAGGGAATTCATATAGTCTCTCAGATCTTCTCTGAAGGAATGTGTGTTTTCCAGTTTTATTCACTTGCCAATTGCTCAAATTCGGCTGAATTCTAAAAGTGCATGTTGAAACTCTATATTGATAACCATGTGTGTAGGCCTCTAACCCTATTGTAAGGGTCTTAAAAGCAGAGGCATACTTTAAATCTCTCTGGGTGCCCAGTTTTTGCAAAATGCTTTATTAAAAGCATAGTAGATGCTCAGTGAATCTTCCCTGTCATATATGGCAATGATGCTAAAAGTGTAAGTATACACAGTGTAAGATTACCAGTCATTCCTACCCTATATGTCTCCTTAAAAAAAAAAAAAAAAAAAAAAGACAAAAAGGCAAACAAACAAAAAAAACCCCAACTCATATTCAGATTACTTGGAGATTTTCTATTATTTTAGTAGCTCTTAAACTGGGACAGTTGTTCTCCTCTCTCCTTCAGGGATATAATTTAGGGGTGGGGAGGGTGCTACTGGCAACTAGTGGGAGAGACCAGGGATGCTGCAAACACCCCACCATTCATGAATAGACCCAACAACAAGTAAGCTAATCCAAAATGCCAGTAGTGCCGAGGGTGAGATACACTGACTGAATTAGAAGTAAAATAATGCATGAGCACCTTTCCACTTCTCCACTTTAAAATACAGATAAGGTTGGACCAGCAGGTGACATGGTTGTTAAGGCAAGTGGCTGACTTTGTAATTTGAGTTCTAACCTGGCAACTTGAGAAAGGCACTGGGCTGGGCACATGTGCACGCAAGCCCAAAATCCCAAAAGGAGGGAGAGATGGAGGAGAAGAAACTAGGCTGTGACCATCCCCATTGTGGGGATGCTTCCCACTTTTCTGTCTGTCTTTGGAGAGCACATGTGCCCTCTAGCAAAATAAACGAAATAAAATGAAACCACAATTAAGATATAAATAAAAATGATACACCAAAGATTTGACCCAAACAAAAAAATCTCAGCAATTTCTGTGAAGAAAATGGATAATTATTTAATGGGACAATTTACAAGAGTAGAAAGGCCCAATAAAAATGTGAAGAAAAACAATCTCTTTTTTGGAGAGGTTTTCGCTATAGGGCACGTGCGCTCGTCAGACAGACAAAAAGAAACAGAGAGACAGAAAGCGAGAAATCACCCCCCAGGTGTGATGGCCATGCCGCAATCCCTTCTCCTCCATTCTCCTCTCGGGATCTTGGGCACGCACGCACACGAGCCCAGCGTGAGTTTTAAGCTACCAGGTCCAGGATGCGAACCGCAGTAGACTACGTGGGAATCCAGCGACATAGCCATTACGCCAACTGCTGGTCCTGATAATCTTAAACATATATGTTCTTAAGTAAGCAAAAGAATGTCCTAATCTTTACTGGGTATAAAGTTGAGGCTACTCTACTGTGATAAGATGTGTAAGATATTCTGATGATGGGCATTGTAAAACCACCAAGGATCTGATTCAGACGTGAAACTCTGACTTGAGACTATTTCATTATTCCTAACCATGCTCAAAATCCACCTTTTGCGCCCTGAAAAGAAATGTATATTTTTTGCTTTCAAATATAGCAATCAAAATAAACTGTCTTTTCTATATAGTCCTTCCTTTTTATACCTGTCTACCTTTTCTCCATGGCTAGATTTACCAAGAGGGTTCAATTGTTCAGCCTGAACCTATTACTGTGGATTTAGGAATCTTTCTTTCAGTCCTGAGTTCCTCTCTGTGTTTCAATAATAGAAAAATAGCCAGCCTTTATCCATTATCCTAAAAGGATCATAATGACTTACAATAAGAAAAAATAAGTGCTGGGACCAGTAGTTAGCATAATGGCTATGTCGCTGGACTCCCATGTAGTTGACCATGGTTCGAGTCCTGGACCTGGTGGCTTAAACTCATACTGGTTGTTTGTGCATGTGTGCCCAAAATCCTGAGAGGAGAATGGAGGAAAAGGGATTGTGGAATGACCATCCCCTCTGGGGGGTGATTTTTCACTTTTTGTCTCTCTGTCTCTCTGGTGAGCGCACGTGCCCTATAGCAAAACCTCTCAAAAAAA